TTACATCTTCAAGACTCCAGGTCTACACAGTATTGGATAGTTCTCATTCCTGTATCCTAGAGTAAGCTTGATGCAGATTGCTCCAAACCTGACCGAGAAATTGGGAAGTATTGAGTTGTAAAGGTGAGAAAACTTGGTCTATCATTTTCTTCCAAAATTTGTGGAGTTCTTCTACATTTTCCTCTCTTGAAGAATCGTTCCAACTGGGCTTCGATATCCAGTTCTTGCGCATTGATTCAACATTTCCAAGGTAGGGCTGTAATTCCTTGCAACAACATTCCCCTTTACAATTTTCAACAGAAAATGCACTGTATCTTCAATAATACATCTTATTATAATGCAGTACACACAATCATTTACTTAAGTAAAATTATTAAAAACAGTGCAACAATTAAGTGTGTCAGGAGTACACTAAATTTTCAGCTTTTAATGTGACCATATTTTCCTTTCACATGAAGCGAATACAGATCAGCAACAGCTCACCATTTTTCAAATTTGCTCCAGCCGAGCAAACCAGCAGGTCATTTCAAGATAGGAACAGCTCTGCTGTCACCGTCCCCGCAGCCAAAAATTTCACAAGAGTTGCAGTTTTAGAAGGCTTCAGGAATAGTACAAAATTATGTTCCATGAGCATATTTTGTAAATGTCAATTTCTAAATACCATAGAAACTTGTGGAGGACCAATGTCTTCAGTGATCACAAATGCAAAAGAAGTTTGTGTTAATAGTAGCTTTTGAAAAGGATTAAAATTCACAAACAGATTCCCAAATAAACTGATAAGTTGATAGCACTTCAGCAAACATTGTGCTGCTAAGAGGGATTAGTTCAGCTACACTACAGAAGATCATGTCCAGATAAATCTAATGCAGCACCACAGAACTAGAATGACACATCAGTGAAGGGTTATGCATATGCAGCATTGCAGAAAACATCACAAACTAAGCTTATAAATAAACAATTTAGAACTCATGGGCCATCTTCCAATTTAAAATCAGCACAGCAAAAATATATGATACTAATATCTATCTGCTGCAAAACTACTTTAAATGATTATACAGTTTTCATTTACACTTCTAATCCATCCTTTTGTTTACTCACTCGTCCTAATGTCCCTTTGGCTTGTCACCATCACTCTTATTCTCCATCCTAGAACATATGTTCCTCTTAGTATTCCCTTGCCTACCTGACTCTGAATGTGTATGGACTGTTAAATCTGCAACAGTTTTTTCAATTCAATTGACCAGTCATGACCTGAAACATTAACACTCATTTCTTCTCTCCACAGGTGCTGCCTGACCTGCTGAAAATTTTCATCCTTTTCTGCTTTCCAGTTCAAAATTACGCTGCTGGCAGATCCTGATGAGTGGATTCCTCATAAATTACATTGTTTTCATTGTAATCCTGTAGGATTCTGAACCACGGCCTAATACTGTGCTGCTGCCAGGTTTTGCAGATTAGTTTTATGTAGTTTGAACTGATGGTATAGAGAGTCCTGCTCTGGAAGGTTAATGGGGTCAATTATGCACTGTAAGGCTCAAGTCATCACGGGCTTATTACAACCATTATCAGTTTACTGAGGAGTAGCTGGCATCATTTTCAAGCCAGCAACATAACGTCAACAACGTTTTAAATAGAAATTGAAGCCCATGGGATTAAAGGGACATTGGCTTGTGGACATGAAATCGCAAAGAGAGAGCAATTATGAACAGCTGTTTTTCAGACTGAAAGAAACCATTCAGTGGCATCTAAAGGCTCTTGTGGTATAGTGATAGTATTCCCTACCTCTAAACCAGGGAGACCTTGATTTAAGCCTTACCTATTGCAGACAAGTGTAATAACAGATGTTATATTTCTGAACAGGCTGATCGGGAAGCTATGTGCAGTGGTGCCTCCCAGGGCTCAGCTGTGGGACCACTGTTCTTTTGCAGCTAATGTGAAAAACAAATGTAGCAAACAGTGGGGATGCCTAAAGATAGGGACAACATGGTGAAATAGCACAGACATACAGTAGGTGAGAGTTAAAGCCTGATTCATTTATTTTTATCGGAAAAGAAACAAACATGAGCGGGAACACACATTTGTAAAGTGGGTGCAGAAACAGAGGCACAAAAGAAGATTTTTTTAAGCCCTTGCTGGGACCAGGCACTAGCACTTAAACACTTTCCAGGCTCCATCTCAGTCCTGGATCATTTGGCCCAGAGGTGGGATGAGGGCACAGCCGGGCCATTGGCCCATATACTACAGGTAGCTAATTAAACTTGTAATACAACACAAGAAGGGGATGACCCATCTTGCCCCTTCAAACTTTACAGGAGATATTTTGTCTTGCGTGAGACAAAAGAAGGGTCAAAAGGGAGATGAAATTGGCCAGTACAGGTAAAGGAAAGGCAGTGTCTTGATTTGAGTGAGTAGAAAGCACATAGTTTTAAATATGATACCTGAAATGTGAATGCTGGAGGGTTCTGGCAACACCTCTGCTGACTACGGGCCAGTTAAGAGTGGACTGTGGAAGCAGGATGCACAGTCAGTGAGATGAGCAGTGGTAAATTGCATGAGAAAAGTCACCAAGGCTCAAGGAATGAATCTCCTCAAAACTGATATCTAACCCTTTGTGTCAAAGCATTTTAGGCAGGTATACACATCGGAGAAGATCAATTTTCTTACAATCTAGTTTGACAAGATGAAAGCAGAGCATGCAAAGGAGAACTGGGGAGGTGATTTTGTATATTGGTAGATAAACATACCAGATTTTCATTGTATTTCCTCCGCATTGCAATTAATGCAATGAGTTCTGTTCCTAGTGTGTGGACCTCTGCCTAGTTTCCATGTTGCACTCCATTAAAGCAATGATCAATACCCAAGTTGAAAATACCTAAACCTATCCTTACGATAGAATAATCTCCTTAACAGCAACATTGCTCATTGTGTAGCTAGAGTGCAATTATATTGACAAGATTTAACTGGTTATTTTTAAGATGAAGAATTTCTCCGCAGGTACAAATGCCAGATCTTTTGGGACATCCTATTTGGTACATTAATGTTAAAATTGCTCTCTGGTTTATTATTTTCATCTTATTACTGAGAAAACTTGTAAAGCAGGCATGTGTCTACACTTTAGCAGAACTCTTCTCTCCTTGCAACAAAGGCAGTTATTATAAGTGAAAGCAGAAGATGTAATAGGCTTAGGCCTGCAACTCAAACTTCTCCCTGTGGAAGTAATAGATATAGGCCTGCCACATTCTACGGAGTTAGACACCATTGATACTTCCACAATCTCAGACCATATGCAATCTGTGTTAGCTGGAGTTGTCAACATCTAATGCACCTCCCATCTCTGACGTTACAAGATGCTAGTTTCCAGGTGGTGCATGGAGTGTGCACTGCACCAATGTTAAGGACAGCAGTGGTCAAAAGGATTTTACCCAGCTTTTAAACTAAGCTCAAGCAGGGCAAAATAAAAGGACTATTTTTGTGGAAAATAGCATTAACTTCAATGCTTAAGCTACACATCATTCACAAATCAATGTTGAAACAGTGGCAATGTCACTGGCCTAATAACAAAACCAAGCTAATGCTCTGGGCATAAAGATAACACAGCATGGAGCTGAAGGAACACAGCAGGCCAGGGAGCATCAGAGGAGCAGGAAAGTTGACATTTTGGGTCTTCAAAAGAAGGATCCTGACTCGAAATGTCAATGTTCCTGCTCCTCAGATGCTGCCTGGCCTGCTGTGTTCCTTCAGCGCCACACTGTGTTATCTCTGGATGCTCTGGGCACATGTGCTCAAATCTCTCAACTGGTCGCTAGTGAAATTTAAAACTTTAATTGATAATTCTGAAATATGAAATAAATCTGTAATGATGCCCCTGAAATCTTTATTGATTAGTGTAAAAACCTCACCCAGTTTATGCTCGAAATGGAAAGCAACAAAAGTTCACCAAATTCATTTCTGGGATAGACAGTGATTGAGCAATGAGAAATGACCTTTTTTAAAAATTCTATCATACAATGGCAAATGTCTGGAATTCTGTGGGGCAGAGACCTATGGAATCTCAGCCTTGAATGTACTCAATGACTGACATGGAATAGACTTCTTTTTATTAAAATCATTGAAGGATACAGGGAATCATGCAGGATTCACTGATGAAGTAAATGATCACCCATCATCTCATTGAGAGGCAGAGTGGGTTTGAAGGGGTGAATGGCCACTTGATGCTCCTCAATGTCCCTTAGGAACAGAAGGCTGCCATCCTTTCCTCCTCTACGTGACTCCAGACCCACAGCAAGGTGGTTACTCCCAACTACCTCCCTTGAAATGGCATAGCAAGCCACTTAATTTCAAGGGCAATTAATGATGGGTTATAAGTGTTGGCCTTGCCAGTGACACACATACACACACACTCCCATGAAAGACAAAGAACATAGTTTAGTTTATAATACTGAAATAATAAAATTTGCAGGAATTTCCAGGGTTTGATAGCCCTACTATCCTCAGAGAGGGACCAGACAGGGATCCTTAGAGTGTTAAAATGGCCCTTATGTAGACTTAGCTATACTCAGGAACCGGAAATCCAGAAAAAAAAATTAGAGGCTGTCTGTTCCAATTCTTTCAGAAGACAATAACATACCACTTAAGAGGTGTATAGTTGTCTAGAACCAAATCATTACACTTGATTAGGTTTGCTGCATGTAGAGAATAAGAGGTACACCTAGCTAAATTATAATATACGATTAGTGTGAAGGCGCATACATTACTATCAGGTCTGATTGCACCTGGGGTGCGATTTGTCCTTAACTTAACATGACATGTATATCAAGTATCCTCCTCTGTCAGATGTCCCTTGTTTTTCGAAAAAAACTTCAAGGCTTGGAAGTTCAATGAATGAAAAAATCTGGTTGACTTTTAGCGTTATTCCATTGCTACCTTGCAGATTGTTAGCTCTTTTTCATGTTTTCCGAACGTGTATCCTTGAGTCATCCACAATTAAGTTTGCAACTGTGTGCCATTAAATATTGCTCTGCAAGTTATTTTATTAACTCAAATTTCCAATGAACTTAAGCATTTACATTCTCATGTTAGATTCAAGAGATGAGAGAGCATAATAAGTTTAGGCGCCAAGAATAAGGGAGCTGGCTAACTACATATTTTAGCGAAGCAAGATTTGAATCATTGTTTAACTGAAGCTGCATCAAAAAAAAAACAAAAAAAAAAAAAATGGGTGAATGCCTGTTCTTGTCCACAGAAATGGTGGAAATGTTTCATTTCAAAATAAATAATTCTTGAAGATATTTTGACCATTTTGATGAAAAACGGGCAACCTTGAAGATTCACTGCCTTAACTGTTTTGGGAAACAGATATTTAATCAGGTGAGCACCCCCCATAAAAGGGAGGAAAATTTGATTAACCTCAAATACCCTTGCTGTCAAGGACCACTACGCTACCTTTCCTGTGGCCCCCCACCTGTGAAATCCTTCTAGCCATCATTTATTACTTGTGGACTTGGTCATTACACAATCCTGCGTCTCTCAAAAAAAAAAAAAAATGGCATTCCAGTAGCTCCCGCCACATATCCAATGGAAGCCTGGAAGCTCTCAGCAGGGTCCTGATTCTGGAGAAGGTCCAGTAGTTTCTCAAATGCCCAGTGGGTTCAGCAGGCCTTTCCCAGAGGAAGTCATCTTTCTGACATACTGCCTAGCAGGTGAGAACAACCCTATCAATATTTTTTCCCAAACATTAAAAATCACTTACAAGTAAATTCACCTACATAAGTTATTTTTGCCAAATCTGAGACTACTTGAAATCCAAAGTAGTTAAAGAACTAAGAATTCAAATACCCATCTTCACATTCTAGTTACTATTAACGTATGCTGTCATTTGGCATAGGTGGCGAACTTAGTGGGTGCTTCCAAAGAGTACACAGTGATGATGATATCAGTGTTCTTAAAGACCTCTTGAATTCTTTCAGAAACTCTGTCCCACTTCAGCTGGTCCAGTCCACATCCAATCCTGGAGAGCAAACAAAACTGATTTTAGCCCAGAGTCTGTGGTGATGCAGAATGTTAAGACTGCAAAATCCTAAAGCCCAGAATATTTTAGCAGTTTAACACCCAAATACACAAGATAGTAGACTGTAGAACCTCTTCCATCATTCAGTATGATCATGGCTGATGTTACTTCAATTCTGCAGTTACCCACTTGCTGTCATATCCCTTAATTCACTGAAACAAAGTTCTTAGTTTTAATTTATTCAGCAATGGAGCATTCACAATTTTCAGAGATAGGTGACTTCCAAAACTTTATCCTGAGTGAAGAAGTTTCTCACTCTTGGGCATCTGTGCAAACTCCACATTCTCCCAGTGTCTGCATGAATTTCCTCTCGGTGCTCCAGTTTCCTCCCACAGTCCAAAGATCTGCAGGTTAGGTGGATTGGACATGATAGGTGGATTGGACACAGTGAAATCAATGCTGGAGATAAAGCACAGGCCTCCCAACAGCCTGTGGGAGATAGAGGAGAGAATATGTAGACAGATTTTGGAAAGATGTAAAAACTGCAGGTTGTTGCGGTGAGTGATTTTAACTTTCCCCACATTGACTCGGATTCACTACGTGCTAGGGGCTAGGATGGGGCAGAATTTGTAAGAATCATTCAGGAGGGATTCTTGATTCTTACATGTAAACACTCCAAACAAGGAAGAGGTTATATTAGGATAGCAAGAACTGCAGATGCTGGAGTCAGAGATAACCGAGTGTGGAGGTGGAGGAACAGAGCAGGCCAGGCAGTATCAGGGGAACGGGAAAGCTGATGTTTCGGGTTGGGGCCCTTCTTCATATACATGAACAGGAAGGGATTAGAAGGATACAGACCTGTAAGTGAAAACAGTTTTAGTATGGAAGGGCAAAATGTAGTGCATAGGCTTGGAGGGCCAAAGGGCCTGTTCCTGTGTTGAATTGTTCTTTGTTCTAAATTGCCCGCAGTGTCTAAGGGTGTGCAGGCTAGATGGATTAGCCATGGGAAACGTAGGTTACAGGGGCAGGGTAGGGGAGGTGGGATGCTCTTTGGAGGGTCAGTGTGGATTCAATCCACACTGCAGGAATTCTATGATTTAGGATTTAAAAAAGATATATTCATTATGGAGTCCATTTAAAGCTGCAATGTTGGCTATTAACTGGAGGAGATTTGCTGGCCTTTTTAATCCATGCTCCTCCATAAATTTATCAAAGGATAAATTTAAATTGTTACTTTTTGGTGCTGGGTTACCTTCAATTTCTGATATTTAAATGGTACCTTCCATTGTAGAGAGAAAAAAAATTCTGCAAGTTCTTTATTTCCATGATAATGCCTTCTGTCTGCTTCTAAGGGACCAATTCTCCTCCTTTGCATTTCCTTGCATTTTTTCATATTCCCAGTTAAATCACGTTAACATTTTTTACCTCTTTTCCAGCATTTTGACAGCTCTTTACTGCTTTTTAAAACCTTTAGGTCAACAAGCTGACGACAACTTTCTAAAACTCCCTTTCAATCGAATACAATGTTTACATTCCTTATTAAGCCATTTTAAATCTTTAGTCCTGAATTTGTTTTCCCAATGAAGTTTCTTTTTGTACATTTTGAATAATTTCTTTCAATATTTTGTTATTGCTCACTTGGGTGCTGAAAAATTAAGCCATACTATTCCCAGAGTTGTGACAAAAAGGTTTTGAAAAGTATGCAAAATTCGCAATTTGTTTGTCTTGTATAACCAGGTTAACAAAGCATGGAACCAGTTTCAGTACTTAAGAACACAATACTAAACCGATGGAATGAAGAAAAAAATGGATGTTACAGGTGGAGGGAAAGACGGAGAGTTTTCCAGTGATCTCTCTCCATTGTGTTTGCTGAGATGTTTCTTGGGCTGATCATAATCCTGCTTCTTGATCTTCCTTCTCTGGACACTTTCACTTGTTTGTAGAAAGCACAAGGTCACTGGTTCACACTTTCGTCCTCCAACATTTTTCAAATCATGTTTTACTTCAACTGAAGGAGAAAGAAACTAGTTTTGTTCAGGCTTGTGTTTTTTTTTTGTTAACTGCAGAGAATGGAGAAATTTCTTTGGCTAGCAGAGATTTAATGGGTTCTCATATCGTGTTGACAATCCTGAGAGACAATCACTGTTGTTGGCAGACAGAAGGCTTTGTCATTGGTAAGTGACCACTAGTCCACAGACCAGATACTTGTCAGTTGAATACAGATTTGTGCACAACCCTTAGCTCCAGCTCATCTACAGACTGTTTAGTACTGCTTGAACTAGCAGCTGTGTAAACAGTACTTACAATGAGTGTCAGGTTACCCTGTTTCAAAACACTACAGCAATCCCTCAGGGATTTTATTTTAAAAAATATTTTCCTGTTTCAGTCCACAACCCATAATAGAAAAATAAATTAGATCTTACAACTTGACTGTTAACAGTCATACTTTTAAGACCATAAGATAAAGGGCTGAATGGCTTAATTCTGCTTGAGCCTGCTCCACCATTTGATCAGGGCTGATCTCAAACCCATTCTCCTGCCTTTTCCCCGTAAAGGGTGATCTATTTATTCAGTTCGGCCAACCTCCCCTTATTTAAACAAAGCCAATTGCATATCTAGAAGAACAAAAGAACAATTCAGCAAAGGAACAGGCTGTTTGGCCCTCCAAGCCTGTGCCACTAAATTTTACCCATCCATTCTAAAGCTGTCTTCACTTACAGGATCTGTATTCCTTTATTCCCTTCCTGTTCATGTATTTGTCCAGTTGCTTCTTGAATGCTGCTATTGTGTCTGCTTCCACCACCCCCTCTGGCAATACGTTCCAAGCACTCACCACACTGTGAAAAACTTGCTTCGCACATCTCTTTTAAACGCTCCCCCCACCCCTTGCACCTTGAACATGTCTCCCCAAGTAACTGACACCTCCACTCTGGGAAAAAGCCTCATACTTTCTACACCATTCGGAATCTTTTAAACTTCTATTAGGTTACCCCTTAACCTCCCGAATTCCAGTGCAAACAAATCTAGTCTATCCAACCTTTCTTCGCAGTTAAAATACCCCGTACCAGGCAACATCCTGGTAAACCTTGTCTGTACCCTCTCCAAAGCATCCACGTCATTCTGGTAGTGTGGTAACCAGAACTGTATGTGATATTCCAAGTGTAGCCTAACTAAAGTTGTACAAAGCTTCAGCAAAACTTCCATATTCTTATACTCAATTTCCCTTCCAAAAGATTCTTGTTTTAGACTGAAACAAGTCACTTTCAAACTTAATTTAGAATTCAGTTGTTTTACGGGCACTTCTCCCCACCATCTCCCCTGAGGATCTATTACTTTGAGGTTCATTGGTTCCACAATTGTTTTTTGTTCCAAAATAATGCTCCAGATACCCTTTAAAATTGTGCAATCGACAAGATTGAAGTCCCTTATAATTATTATATTGCTTTTATTACAAGCTCCAAATATTCCTTGCTTTGTCCTCTGTCAAAGGCTTAACTACTGTTGGAGTGGAGAGGGAGTGGGAACTATAAATTACCCTACCTCCATCTGAACTTGATAAATTAGACACTGGGATTTCATGACGTGATCTGAGACAAGATCTTTCCTGCAACTGTTCTCCCACCCCTCATCCTCTAGCATTCCGCTTATGTTTGAAATGCTTGTATCCCACAATATTCATATACAATATTAATCCCTTTGTAATCATATCTCTGAAGTGGTGATTAGATTCAAACTATTTCTGTCTGTCTATTTGTGCTACTAGTTTACACATCTTAAGAATGCTTTACACAGATCAAGGGGATTTTTTTTAAAACAAAGCTATTTGTTGCATTGACCTTATTAATTGACAAACTGTGTCCTTTGTCTCAACTTTTACCTTCAGATTTCTAAAACTGCAAATTACCTGACCTGGCCTCACTCCGTTTCAAACTCTATCCCGCAATCAGCACAATTTGCCACTACTAGCAGCAATTACATTAATGGCTAATTTATTTGCATGATGTGATCAGGTCAATTGAGAGTTTTAGACATTAAATGCAACAACAATCTAACGGAACTTCCTTTCAGCCGATTATGATTAGACGCTGTTGCCATCTACAACATCATATCTTTACACAAAGATGCTAAGATCATAGAATCTCTGCAGTATGGAAGCAGGCCATTAGGCCCATCAAATCCACACCAACCCTCCAGACAGCATCCCAACCAAACCCACCTCCCTACTGTATCCCTGAAACCTTGCATTTCCCATGGCGCATCCACCTAACTTACACACATCTTTGGACTGTGGGAGGAACATATGAACACACACAATTATGATAAAATAAATGTGCTTGATGAAAGCAAAACTTTAATCTTACCTGGGCATCGAGATCCGCGAGATTCCATTTACCAGGCAATGTGTCTTCATGGCCTCCAAGCTGCTCTGCAGATCATCATAAGTTGGCTTTTGATAGGCCTTCTTTTTTGTAATCTGTAAATACAAAACCACTTAACTTCCAACCAAGCGTTCACAATTTCAATCATCCTTGCAATTCTGACATGCCATGAGCTATGCAATGATGACAGTATTAAATATTTCATTTAAAAAGACAGAGCTATTGAGACTAATTGACTAAATGGGAAATGCATAAGAGCATAAATGTCAAAGGTTGGAAGTTTCATTAAAAGAAAAAAAAACATCTTTTGGCATTCTCAACATTAGAAGTCAAAAACAGAAATAAAGGTAGATAAAAATGATGGGACTATACAATGTTTTGTATGGAAAATGTCACACAGCTGTATCCAAAACACATTTAAAGGCTTTATATATGTGCCACATCCTGTGAATTTTATATTCAAATGATCAATTCTAGCAGTCAAATAATTAAAATAATTCATTACCAAATAGTAGATGTATCTGTCTTTTGTTTTCAACACTGCCACATCCCCAACTTTCTTTTCTGTGAAGAAAATCATCCATATTTAAAAAAATTAGATTTAGTAAAAAGGTAAATGCATTACAATGATGTTAACATTGGTTGGCCGAGACAGGATGCCTTCAGATATTGTTACACTTGTTAATGTAATCCAATGTATTTAGAGAGAAGAAAAATCAGATTAACATCCAGCTGGAACAAAGCTAAAATAATAAACAGAAGTTTCAATTCATACATAAAAGGGGTTTTTACCATTCCACCTATATTCCAATTTGTTAACTGCTGGGCAGTGGAGGTTCAATCAGACTTGGGGATCCACAGATAGATCAAGATGTCAAGAACAGATATTAAGAAAAAATGCTTCCCTTTATACATAAGCTAGAAAAACAAATGGGGTGAAAGTCATTACTCAGCTGTACAAATCCCAGGTGAGACCACATCTGGTGATTGAACACTCATGGATACCTTGGAAAGGTTGACAATTTCGGGACAGTGCAGCATAGATTTACCAGCATGATACCTGTACTCAAATAGTTAGGACAAGTTACACAAAACAGTGTAGAAATTCCTGCATTTTAGAAAGGTTAAAGAGTAGATTGAAGTTTTCATTCAGCTTTGTCTTGTCAGCAAACTTGTAGCTTTAGGTTCCTCATCTAAATCATTACTAAATATTGTAAATAGCTTGGGTTGAAAACATCGATCCCTGTGATAGCCCATTAGACATTGGGAGCAACTTGCAACATCGTGCACGTCTCTTGGGCTTCAAGGCAAAGTGTCTTGCATTGCAGTGGCAAGTTGCCCATCAATAGGGTCTATTGCTTACTAACCCATCTTATTAAGTGCACATTCCACCTTATTATTGTGTCGATTCCTATCTTACCAAACATGCTGAAAAATGCTAGATGCTGAAAATTCTCAATACTGAAGTCAGAGCAGTGCCTGGTAGCTTCAACTCTCTGCTGGCTATAAACACCTTTCAAACTGCTGAGCAACAAACAGGATCTTAGGGCATGATCCATGGGTGGTTCCCACATGCAACTCTCCTCATTCACAGATATTGGCATCCAATGTGTACCAATTCTTTTGGTACTATTCAATCTACATGCAGGAGTTTTGGGAAGCACAGACCTGCATTTCATCAGCAACCAACATTGAAAGGCTGCTGCAAGAATACCGTGTGCAAGGACAGGCACCCGGCTCATAGATTGGGTCAGGCTTAATCTCAGGGCTGCTTGCCTGTAGTCTTTGTGTTCACTCACTCAGTGGCTGCTTGCATTCTCACAGTATCCATGCATTGCTAATTAGCACAGTCAAACATCCAGACAGCTTTCCTTGCTGGTCACTGGTCCTTAGTGATGGGGGCAGAGATCTTGCAGTATAGGATGGTGTATCAATATCACACTTTTACCATGTGTCAGCAGCGTATGTGGCAAACACACTGCACGTACAGCAAACAAGCAACTGTGTCTTAAAGTTTTAGGAGCGTGGTCCTCCCTGAATTTCATAGAGGCTCCTGTCAGTCGGGCTACCAAACAGTAATTAAAGGGCAGCCGCTAATCCTAGTCAAGGGGATTGTCACAGTCAGCCAGCTGATTGGGCCAAACAGAAACCAGGAACAGAAGTAGGCCATTCAACCCTTTGAGCTTGCTCTGTCATTCAAAATGACCATGGCCAATCATTCAATTTAGAAGCCAATCCCATTTGTTCATGATACTTTTTGATCCCTTAGTTCTGAGCAATTAGATCCAACGCCTTCAAAACATTTAAATGTTTTGGTCTCTACGTTGTGACTTCAAAGAATCCCACAGACTCACCACTCTGGGCGGAAAAAAAAAAAATCTAACTGGCTTACCTTGCTTGTTAGGCTTCCCCCTAGTTTTTGTTCTTAGTCATCAGCAATATCCTTCCTATGTTTACAATGTCTAGTCCTGTTAGAATTTTATGTTTCTATTAGATTGCCCCTCATTCTTTTAAACTCCAGGGAATGTAGTCCTAACCAATTCCATCTCTCTTCAAAGGTCAGTACTGCCATTCATGAAATCAGTCCAGTACATTCGTTCCACTCCCTCCATAGCCAGAACATGCTTCCCCAGATAAAAAGACCGAGGCTGCACATAATACTCCACATGTGGTATCCTCAAGATCCTGGGCATTTGCAGCTAGACATCCCTGTTCCTCATTATGAAGGCTGATATACCATTTACCTTCTTCACTGCCTGTTGCACCTGCATGCTTACCTTCAGCATCTGATGTACAAGGACACCCAGCTCTCATTGCACCTCCTCCTTTCCTAATTTATTGCTGGATAACAATCTACATGTCGGTTTTTGCTAACAAACCAGATAAGCACATTGATCCTCATTATAATTCATCCACCCTGCAGCTCAATCAACTTGTCCAAATCACACTGAAGTGTCTCTGCATTCTCCTCAGGTCCCACCCCCAATCCCCAATCAAAATTTGTCTGCAAAAATTGGAGATATTACATGTGGTTCCCACAGCTAAGTCATTAACAGATATCCATAGAATCCCTAGTGTGGAAATAGGCCCTTCAGCCCAACAAGTCCACACCGAGCCTCAGAGCCATCCCCCTATAACCCACCTAATCTACATATCCTTAAACACTACATGTAATTTAGCATGGCCAATCCACCTAGCCCGCACATCTTTGGACTGTGGGAGGAAACGGGAGCACCCAGAGGAAACCCACACAGACACAGGAAGAACACGCAAACTCCACATAGACAATCGCCCGAGGGTGGAATTGAAATCGGGTCCCTGGTGCTGTCAGGCAGCAGTGCTAACCACTGAGCTACCGTGCTGCCTAATATTATGAATAGCTGGGGTCCAAGCACTGATCCCTCTGATACCCGATCAGTCACTGGCTGCCACTCAGAAACAGCCATTTATTCCAGTTCTCCATCATGCCAGTACACAACTACAACTCTACGTGCAGGCAGGGTGAATAGAAATAGCCCAGCAGCAACTGCAGAGTCTTAACAGGAGACTTGAGGGGTCCATGTATTGCACTTCATCCAGTTGGAGGCCTCCTAGCCTTTTCTTTCATTAACTTGTAGAACATGAGCATCATCGGCTGGACTAGTATTTATTGCCTACACCTTTGTTGCCCTCAAGGTGGTGGTGGTGAGCTCCCTTCTTCAAGTGTTGCAGTTTATGTGCTGTAGGTTGATTCACAATGCCCTTAGGGAGGCAAACTCCAAGCCTTTGACCCAACAACACCGAAGTAATGGTGATACGTTTCCAAATCAGGTTGGTGAATGGTTTGGAAGAGAACTTACAATGGAGTGCTCTTATGTATCTGTTGACCTTGTCCTTGTCCTTCAAAATGAAAATAGTTGTGGGTTTGGACAGTGCTAAGGGTCTTTGGTGAGTTTCTGCAGTGCATCTTGTAGATAGTAACAGCAGTGTACATCAAGTGTCAGTGGTGGATATAGTGAATGTTTGTAGATGTGGTGCCAATCAAGCAGGCTCCTTTGTTCTGGATGATGTCAAGCTTCTTGAGCTTTGTCAGAGCTACTCTCATCCAGGTATGAGTGGAGTATTCCAACACACACCAGTCTTGTGCCTTGAAGATAGTGGACAGACTTTGGGGAGTCAGGAGGGGATTTACTCACTGCAGCATTCCTAGCCTCTGACCTGCTCTTATAGCCACAGTATTTATATGGCTAGTCCAGTTCAGTTGTTGACCAATGGTAGCCCTTAGGATGTTGATGTTGGGGGATTCAGTGATGTTAACACCACTGAATGTCATTTCCCAGTCTCCTTCTAGGTGCTGAAAGAACTGCGGATGCTGTTCTGTTCTCAGGAAGAGTCACTAGACCCGAAACGTTAACTCTGATTTCTCTTCACAGATGCTGCCAGATCTGCTGAGTTTTTCCAGCAGCTTCTGTTTTTATTCCTTCGAAGGGCCACCTGGAGTGCACCAGGTTCCCAATCTACCTGTCACAATGCCTTCATTCAGGGGGACTAACGGCTAGGGCAATGGAGTTGTGGTGTCTGCATGTCTCCACCAGACCGAGTGTGCTGGACCTAGCTCTCCAGCTACTAACTTGTTTATGGAAATAGACAATTGCAATGTTTGAGGCCACTGGGTCTCCATAGCACAGGTGCACTCCTGCAGACTCTGGGCCACGAGGGCTATTGCATTCCACATATCTAGCTGCTACTCCTGTTTCTGCCTGTGCACGGGGACAAAAATCCCCAATTACTGACACCACAAGGTCCCTCTCCTGTTTAAGGCTGACCATGTTCCTCATATCTAGCAGTCCTCAAAAGTGCTAGTGGCCTGGAATGTTTTTCCCTCCACCAGCTCTGAGTGAGGTCCTCACCACTGCATGCTCCTAAACTTTCCCAAGCCTGCCGTTCCTACTGAGGTATTAGTATCTGAGCTGGTGGCTGAGGCTGCAGCCTCACTAATGCTTCCTCATAGGTTCTCTGTACTTTGATGTGGAGGTGGTGGCTTCTGACAAAAGCAAGCTATTTCTCCACTGAGCTAGCAGACATCCTATAGAACAAGAGAGAAGACATTATGATTAGAAGTGGTGTGTAATGAATAATACTGTGAGCAGGTTTAATATTAGAGTTGCAATGAATGATCCTTACTCAGTTTGCCAGACGTGGAGCTCTTGACCCCCCCACCCCCGGAATCACTCCTTTCCTAATGAGGCGGAAGAGGGGTGCGGGCAGGGAAGATATGAGGAGCCCAATGTTAGACACCCCTCCACCCAAGTCCTACTTGCCCTATTGCAGGCAATTATTCTGGAATGAGAGAAGGAAGGAATTGAGTGTGATGAAAGTGGGTGGCATAGCTGTCAGTGTTGGTGCAGGTGGTCAAAAGATGGTGAGGTGTCCTCGGGCACAGAAGTAGGCAGTGCAGAGGCCATACAGAGTTAGTGGTGTGGCCAGTGGGGAAACAAGTTTGAGGGAAGATGTTGCACACAATGGTCACAAAGTGTCAGACCAGAACCTTGGTGGGAGATGAGTGCAGCAGCACAGAGAGAACGTGAAGTAGCAGAGGGAAAAATGTGTGGCACTCACCCTGGCAGAGTACGGAAGGTTAGTGACTGTCTTGTGGCATTGTTTGTCATTCTTTAGCAGTATATACTGACTTAAATGACAACCTCAGAGCAGGCTACCAGGATCTGGTGAGGTAACGTTTGCATCAGTCTGCCAGGAAGGGGTTCTGCTGCAACCCTGCAGCACTCCCTTCAGGTTGCCAGAGAACTGCAACACCATCTTCTCCCTCTGACATCTTAGGACTGAATGACCACCACTGGCTACAGTAGCTTCAGAATGTCACTGTTTGTCCAGATGCAGAGTGTGCCAAGAATGTGGGCTCAGTCTTTTGGCAGATATCTGCCAAGTGGCAAGTTCTTCTGACATCAGGGCATAGCAGGACAGGACTGGAATCAAACGAAAGAGATACCATGGGGGCAAGATAGGTCATTAATGAGGTGAGCTTGGAATGACACAGTGAGGAATTACTAAGCCTCATGATGAAGAGCTCAATTCCACGTAACTAACACTGAAGCCAAAAATAATGCAAAATTCCACCTGGTGTCTCAGCTTAATTCAATCTATAGAGATAAAAGATAGAAGTCAAGCTAATATATCTGTTATTTTATTCATTTAGGTGATGTTGAGCTCTGAAGAAACAGTGTTATAGTTCTACGTCAGGATAGAGTCTGTTACTTGAGAACAGCTTGCAAATGATGTTCCCATGTAGCTAATCGCCCTTATCCTTCTAGATGGTAGTGGTCGTGCGTTTGAATGGTTCGCCTAAAAAGGATTTGATGAATTTCTGCAGATTGCATCTTGTAGATTGTATTCACTGTTGGTACTGTGTTGGTGGAAGAGGGAGTGAATATTTGTTGGTATTGTGCTTGGAGAGGGTTGCTTTTCCCTGGATTGTGTGAAACTTCAAGTGTTGTTGGAGCTGCACGTATCCAGGCAAGTGGGGATCATTCCATCACACTCCTGACACGCCTTGATGGTGGACAGGTTTAACTAAGAAGTATTCTAAAAATTAGGGGTCACGCTTTTAGGACAGGTAGGAGAAACTTTTTTTCTAAGGATTGTGCAACTTTAAAATACTGCTTTAGAAAGTGGAGACAGGGTCATTGAATTCTTTTTTTTGAAAAAGGTGAATGTAGATTGATTCTTGTACATAAAAAAAAAAGTTTCAGAGGTAGATGGGAATCTGAAATTCAAAAAGCAGACGACACATTGAATGGCGGAGTGTGCTTGAGGGACTGAATTACTTATATCTGCTCCCAATTTACATGATTACACCATTAAATTTAGCAACCATAGATTTGGTCCTTTCATTCAAGTCAAATTAAAAAAAGTAAATACTTGTGGCCCCAACACTTTCAAATAAAGATACCAAAACTGTACACAGTACTGCAAACACGGCCTCACCAATACTTTATATTCCATTTACTTTCCTAATCACATTTCTCTCATGACATATCTTACTCTGATTCAGCAGCTCTTCAACAGATTGAAACTTCCGCTTGAAAATTACTGCTATCCCTGCTCCCATACGAATGTCTTCACTGACGCAATGCGCCAGTGCATCCTGCTCAGGACATTTGAACAGGTCGCCAGTCACATAATGGATCTCAAAGCTCTGGAATAGGCAAAGAAGAGATATTGCTCCTTATTACAATACCTGGAACATTTGACATTTCTTTCCTCACACTCCACAACAAATGCCTTCAGCAATTGACTAATTTCCCATTTAAAAAAGTTTTCACTAAACTTACATTAGTTAATTGGCATTCCCATCTGACCAAGGGAACAAAAATATGAGCAAAACCCATTTAGATCAGTAGTAAGCAGCAGTGACAGCAACTGATATTTATATCCCTTCTTTAACACAGGAAACATGGCCCAATGTGCTTTACACGAGCATTAACAAAAGTGGGCACCTAAATACATAAGCAGATTTTTGGACAGGTGACAAAATCTTGGGATAGAAAGGTTGGTTTTAAGAAGAAAAGGGAGAAGACAGATGGAAGAGAGATACTGTAGCATTTAGGGCAGACGTATCTACAAGCATGGATACCATTTGTGGAATGATAAAGGAAATTGGGAAAGGTAGCCTTGAGGGAGAGTTCACTGAATATATTAGGGAGATTCCTCCAAGAAACAAACAACATTTAGGAATCAAATAGGAAGCAGGCTTTTCTGGATTTGGTACTATGTAATAAAGTGGGATTAATGAATGATCTCATGGAAAGGATCCTCTCAAGAGGAAGAAAGATCATAGCATGCTAGAATTTCAAATGCAGTTGAAGGATGAGAAACTAGAGTCCCAGAGTAAAACAAAGGTAATTACACAGACACAAGGGCAAGATGAGTGGACTGGGCAAGATGACTAAAAAGGGAGGACAGTTGACGAGCAGTGGCAGACAGTTAAGGAGATATTCAATTGCTCTGATCTAAAATATATTCCAGGAAAGATAGATAGAGTGCGCAAATATCATTCATGGCTAAGCAAGGAAGTTAAAGATAACATAAAAACAAAATCTAAGGCATACTCAAGTAGCAGGCTGGAAGACTAGGAAATTTCCCCAAGATCAACAAAAGTTACCAAAAAATTTCACGAAAAAAAAGAGCAAAGATAAAAGAAGAAAGAAGACTAACACAAAAAGGTGACAGTGAAAGCTGCCAGAAGTATATTTTAGGGAAGGAGTAGCTAAAGTGAATGTTGGACGTTGGAGGATGAGACTGGAGAGTTAATAGTGGGGATCTCAGAAATGGCAGTCACTAAATTAATAATTTGCTTCAATTCTCATTATGGAGAACATTTATACCCTTCCAATAGTAACAGGTAATGAAGAGATTATAGAAAGAGAGGAACTTACAGCCATCACCACTACTAGGGAAAGGTAGTGTGCAAACTATTGGGGTTGAAGGTCGACAAGTCTCCAGGGCTGAAGGTTTGCACTCCTAGGGTCTTAAAGTGGCAGAAGAGATAGTGGATCCATTGGTTATAATATTCTAAAAAGTTCTATGGCTTTGGGGAAAAATCCAATGTTTTGGAAAAATGTTAATACAACACCCTTATTCAAAAAAAAAGGAACAAGGTTAAAAAAAAGGTAATTGCAGACCAGTTAGTTTAACATGCATCATTGGGAAATTGAGAGAATCCATTAGGGAATTATTAACAGAACATTTAAAAATTCAAAATACAATCCATCAGAGTCAGCATGGTTTTATAAATGGTCAATTGTGTTTTGTTAATTTGGTAGAGTAATTCAAAGATGTAACAAGCAAGGTGGATAACAGAAATCCTGTAGATAAAATATCTGAATGTCCAGAAGACGTTTGATACGGTGCCGCACAAAAAGGTTAACACACAAGGTATGGTCACGTGGGGTTGGAGGTAATTTATTGGCTTGGATAGAGCATTGGCTGGACAAAGCAGATAGGAGGGCGTAAATAGTTCTTTCCTTGTTGGCAAATGTAACTTGTGGAGTGCCACAAGGTTTACTCCTCAGGCTTCAATCATTTACAATCTATATTAGTGGCTTGGATGCAGGGATAGAAAGTATTATAGCTAGATTTGCAGATGACAAAAGTAGGTGGAAAGTAAGTTACAAATGGATCTGGATAGGTGGGGTGCATGAGCCAAAGTTGTCAGATGATGTTTAACAAGGACAAGTGTGGGGTTATCTGTTTTGTAAGAGGAATAGGAAGGAGACTTATTATCTAAAAAGGAAAAAAAAAAACTTGAGTACTTTGGTGCAGAGGGATCTGGGTGTCCTTGAGCATAAATTGCAGAAAACAAAGTAGGCAAGTAATAAAGGAAAACAAAAGAAAATATCAATTCCATTTGCCAAGGAACAGAGTACAAGAGTAGGGAATGTTGCTGCAACTGTACAAGGCATTAGAGAGACCACACCTGGAGTTTGCATACAATTTTGGCCCAAATGCCTGAGGGATGTAGGTGTATTGGAGGCAGCTCAGAGGAGATTCACAAGATTGATTGCAGAGATGGAGGGGTTTGTCTTACGGAGATTTAGTAGTTTAGGCCTATACTCTCTGGAATTTAAAAGAATGAAAGGACGCCTATAAGATGCTAATAGGGATTTACAAATTAGATGTGGAAAGGAATGTTTCCACATGTGGAGCAATCCAGAATGAGGTCAGATTTAAGATAAGAGGTAATGGATTTAAAACAGAGAGGAGGAGAAATTACTTAGTCATGAATCTGTGGAATTCATTAACTCGGTGTAACGGATGCTGGGACGTTGAGTAAATTTATGGAGAAAATATAGATGTTTAATAATTAATAGGTTGAAGGTTTTAAGACTGTTGGCAGAAAAGTGGAGTCAAGGCTGAGATGAGATCAGTCATTATCATATTGAATGGCAGACAGGCTCAAAGGGGTGAATTCCCTACTCCTGCTCCTAATGCTTACTTCTTATGATTAAAATTAGGGATATGAGGTTTTAGAGTAGATCTGGTTCGTTGTTTTGCAGATGTTTCATTACCATGCTGGGTAACATCATCAGTGTGGCCTCTGATGAAGCACCGTTGTGTTTTCCTGCCTGTTATTTAAACTCTGGGGTCCGTTGAGCTGGATTACCTCACTTCCGGTTTTCCTTTGCAGTGGAGTGTATATGGGGGTCAAGCTCTATGTATTTGTTGATGGCTTTCTTGGTAGAGTACCTCGCTTCTAGGAATTCCTGTTCTTGTCTCAGCTTTGTCCGTCCCAGGATCTTGGTGTTGTCCCAGTTGAATTGGGAGTTCTCCTTAACCATGTGGATAGAGATGAGAGAGTATTGGTTGTATCTTTTTGTAGCCAATTGATGTTCGTGTATCCTTGTTGTTAATTTCCTTCCTGTTTGTCCAATGTAGTGTTTGTCACAGTCTCTACAGGGAATTTTGTATAATGACCCTGGTCCTGTCCATAGTGGGTAGTGGATCTTTGGTTCGGGTGAGCAGCTGTCGTAGGGTTGATGTGGATTTGTGTGCTATTCTGATGCCCAGTGGTCGTAGCAGTCTTGTGGTCAGTTCAGATGTGTTCCCGAAGTAAGGTAGCGTGATGAGTGTGTTGGGGCGTGAAGTATCTTCCTGGTGTTGTTTGATAATAGGCATCTTCTGACCCAGTTTTGAGTATCCATTGTCTCTGGAGGAGGTACTCTTCTTCTTTTTGGTGTAGCTCTGTGCTGCTGCGGTGTGTTGTTGTCCATTTAAATGTTCTCATGCAACTTCGTTTGTGTGTGTTAGGGTGGTTGCTATTGAAGTTCATACTTGGTCAGTATGCGTGGCTTTCCTATGTGCCTTTGTTAGGAATTCCCCATTTGTCCTGCACTCTACCATGACGTCCAGGAATGGGAGCTGTTTGTTCTCCTCCTCCTCCTCCTCTCTGGTGAATCTGATTCCAGTGAGGGTGTTGTTTATTAGTTTATGCATCTCCTCCATTTTGGTCTATTTAATGACAAAGGTGTCGTTCACGTAGTGTATCCATAGTCTTGGTTGGATTAGTGGAAGGGCCGTACTTTCCAGTCTCTGCATCACCGCTTCGGCTATTAGTCCAGAGATAGGTGATCCCATGGGTGTCCCGTTGATCTGTTCATATATTTGGCCGTTAAAGGTGAAGTGGGTGGTGAGGCAAAGGTTCAGTAGCTTCAGCATGTTGTCTGTGGAAATGGTATCACTGGGGTCTTGTTCTTGTTTTAGTAGTGTTGCCAGTGTTTCTCTTTCTAGTGGTATGTCTATCGACGTCAGTAACATTGAATGATACCATAGTCTCGTCATCATCTATTCTTATTTCCTTGATGGAATTGAGGAACTCTTGGGCTGAGTGGATTGAGTGGGGTGACTTGTTGACGAGGTGCTTTAGTCTCCTTTGTAGTTCCTTGGCTAATCTGTGTGATGGCGTGCCTGGCAGGGAGACTATGGGTCCAAAGGTACTTCCAGTTTGTGCACTCTCGGGAGGCTGTAGAATTGTGGGGGGTGTTGGTTTCTTCGGGTTTCATTCTTAAGAAGTATGTTTTGTTGATCTGTTTGAATCTCTTTAACTTGTTGAGGATCTTGTTGCCTATTTGTGATGTCGGGTCTGTCTGCACTTGCTGGTATGGGTTCTCGTCGGCTAGCAATGCATGTGCCTTGGAGAGGTAGTCCCGTTTACTTAGTATTACTGTCACGCGCCCTTTGTCTGCTGTAGTATTGTGACGTTCTTGTCCTTTTTCAGTCCTTCTAGGGCTTTCCTTTCTGATGTGTTGAGGGTGTCGAGTTCACTTTTTCTGGTCAGTGTCAGGATCATAGTTGGGTGTGTTGTTTATCATTACCTTTACATTCCTGCGGCTGTTTTGTGAGCTTGTGGGTTGTTGATAGGGGGGTTTGGATTTCACACTGTGGTAATACCTGGCTCCTGAGGCATCCATGTAGGAAATAGAGTTGTTCACGGGTAGCGCTGTCATTTGGCGTAGTTCACCAATTTTTGTGCCAATTTGAGCGTGCTTCGCCTGTAAGTCTCTAAGGTATATGCAAGAAACCAGAACTGTAGGAACACAGATCTCAGTACTTGAGACAATCAAGTCTTTATGCTGTCTTGTTCAGTCTTATTGGTGGATGTCGAAGATTTCTGGCCCTTCAGGCACAGGAGGTATCTTGTTATCCACTAGCTTCAGGCAAATTAATACAAATAAGTGGTTTTAAAAATATGCTTTGAAATGGTCTCTAATTTAAAGGTACAATGGAGAAATGGGGGATAGGGGCAGGGGTCATTTCAGCCGTTCTGAATTCTACTGACTACGAGCCTGGCTGGCTTGTATTTTAAGGTTAAAGGTGGAGGGGCAGATTGTTTTACCAGCAAGGTACATGGTATCCACATCTGTAAATAATGACCAAAACATCTAAGCCAACAGCAAATAGACTCCAACGTCTGTCAATGGTTCTACTTTAAATAAAGAAGATTTAAGTTTAAAGGATAACTCATTAGTATTACAACAAAATCCCTGTTATCAGGATCACAAGCATCAAGAATTCTCAGATGCTCGAGATTCTGATAAAAGGGCTTTTATTGGCAATTTGTAGGGAATAATGAATGTTAGTGCTACTTTAATACTTGCTGATCAATAAAGACTGAATGACCTATCACAGATACACTAATTGATAACTGGTCCAGGTTGCTTTATTTTAAAATGTACATTTACCTAGTGGCAACGATGAGTTGGGTTCTCCCAGATGCCACTAGCATTTCTCACAAACTGAAAGATTCAAGAAACCGATACCCAAACCCCTCCCAATCCCCGTGTGCATCAGTTACTGGGAAGATTACTGCTCTTGGATAAAAAAAAACTGTGATTGACATTGCCATGGACATGGATTTGAAGAGGGAGATGGCACTGTCAGATCTACCCTCAGGAGGTTTTCTTAAAATATCAAACTTCAGCCCATCAGAATCCAAGAAAGACAAAACACAAGATACAAGATACAGGTCACCGTTCTCAGGTTTCTCGTAGCTCAAACTCATCTCTTCAGAGTGTATGAGGGTTTTAACAAGTTATGTAGATTTGCTTAGTTTTGAAGGGATAATCTTCAGGGTAGCCTCAACTGTAAAAATTAGTTCAAGGATTAGAAATTATTAGTCTGGTATGGGAAAAGAAGGGAAGCCCTTGGGAGCTAAAAAAATTACCTATAGTTGGTTCTGAGAGCATAAAGGATCACTTAAGGGGCAGTGTAAACAATAACAGTGGAGGGAGATTTTTTTGTTGCTTAAAACATTAACAAGGGGATTTTTTTTTCTGTAGAGTATGTTTCCAACAAAATAGTCTTCAGTCAAATGTTCCTTTTAGTTTGTTAGAGTCTTAAAATCAAAAAGAAAATTGCAATGCAATCCTTTTAATTTAGACACTGGCAATTCAAACTTTCTAAAGTTATTGTTTTTTTTTAAAACATAAAAAAACATACAATGCCTTCCTCTGTGACAGTAGCATACTTACACTTCCCTCCAGTGGTTTGTCCATGGAATGCATCATTTCAGTTCCTTTTGTATTTCCACCTGTTCAGCAGGGCCAACAGTATAATTTTAACCACAACATTCTCGTCCCTCTATCCCCATTCTCTATTTATCACTTAATAATTTTCTTCCCCCCACAAACAACCAGAATAGCTCAAATACTCATTAAAATTCATCACTCTACCACAACTTCATCTGCCCAAGATTCAAACTCAATATTCTTCTCTATGCCGGTCCCATCCTTAAAGAAGCTGCTTAAATTCCACATCATTGACCAAACTATTATTGACATGACGACCTTTCCTAAAACCTCATGCACCACTCAATTTTCTCCAGTTCATGTTATGAACTGCCTTGGGATATTTTACATTCAAGACACCAAGAGGGTGCACAAGTGTTCTGACACATTGATGAGCCTCGCCTGTGGGGACATTTACTTGGATCCCCCAAGGCAAACACAGACTCACATTGGGAAATTATACACAGAGAATCACAAAGATGTCCTCTATCTTTGAAACAAGGCACTGGCACAGTAGTGATTCTGGGTGGGAAGTTCTTCAGGGGATCAGTGCAGACTTGATGGGTTGAATGGCCTCTGTCTATACTATATGATTCTATACAACATGGAAAGAGGCTGTAAAGGGCTTGTGATATAGTGGTAGTGTCGCTAACTCTAGACCAGGAGGCTTGGGTTCAAGTTCAACCCACTCTAGAGGGGAGTAATAACATCTCCGAAGAGGCTGATTAGAACATATTTAAAACCTGTGTTCTTTCCTCTCCATCGTAACTCGTACCGAGAGACAGCAATATGGAGATAGTGTTATTTCACTGTGGATCCTGAGGCCCAGGTTGGCCCAAAACCAGTGCTGAGCAGTTATGGGTTCAAATCCCAGAGCAGCTGATAAAAAGAGCCCTTAAGGCCTCTTGTGGGGCAGTGGAAGTGTCTCTATGCCAAACTAGGAAGCCTGGGTTCATATTCCACCTGCTCCAAACTTAAAACATCCCAAACAGGAGGCTGGAAGACGACAGCAGGCCAGGCAGCATCTGGCGGAAAGGAGCTTAAAACATCCCTAAGCAGGTTGATAAGAAAATATCTTGAAACAGATATGAATCCACGCAAGTAAAACACACACCAAAAAAAATCTTTAGCTTATCATGTCCACACCAGTCTGTAAGCATCTATTAATCCCTTTTGCAGCACTTAACCCATAAACTTGCATGTTATTTCAAGATTGGATACTATTTCTCAGCATTACAAAATGCTCACAAATACTTCTTAAAAGGCTTACATTTACAAAGCATCTTTCATTACCATCAATGAATTACTTCAGTTACATAGTTACTCATCACTTAATGTAGGAATGAAAGAGAAAGAAACCCCCAGTACCACACTTTTAAAAAAAAAGTGTACCAATGCATCCTTCAGCCTTTTTTAAAAATAAGTAAATAAATATAAGAAAAATGACAGATTTCTATGGCTTAAGTGGGTCTTATAATGCAGTGGCAGCAATCCTCCTTCTAGGATTCAAGTCCCACTAGTCACGAGGATGTGTCGTAATATTTCAGATCAGGTTACAAAGCCAGGTAGAGTTCACTGCATAGTATTAACGTTTAAATAGGTACAGTCAATTTTCCGATCAACCTGTTATGACACACCTCTGGACAAAGTGGGATTTGAACTCACGTCTCCTGGCTCAGAGATAGGGATACTACCCCTGTGCCACAAGAGCCCCATCAGCACTTGCTGTGCTTTTTCTTGCAAAACAAAAACTTAACCCATTTTTCTAATCAATCGGTTCAGAGGTGTTATTACACACCTCTGGAGCAGTTGGGACTTCCACCTGGGCCTCTTAGTCCAGGAGTAGGGACACTACCATCGCATCCATTTGGTCTGGGAGATGGACATTAAATGTCGATTCGATTAGTTACACTTCTTTTAGGGATAAAATCACATTGCTGTAGTCCAGGGGAACAAGTCTGACGAAGAAAAAAAAAATTCATGTAACGAGAACGGAGCGTCCCCCAAGTCTATGTTAAGGATGTTTTAATCACATCCAAAAAGCATCAGCCTGGCTGTTCCGGGGATATTTAACGTTCTTACCGGGGCTAAAGAGGTTGGTTACCCTGACAACGGGGCCTACACTGCCAGGAGGCAGTCTGCAGCCTGCGCCTCTCGCACAGTCTCCGCCCCGCCCTGACTCCTCGATAGAGGCACGGGGGGAAGCTGCGAACCCAGGTCACTGGCTTACGGCTGGAGACGGTAATATTTCCTTGTTCAGCATATACTTTGTTTTCTGTCTTCCTCCTGAAAGCCAGCAACGCGCCTCTCTCTCTTTCCCTTTAATCGAGACTAAAAAGGGAAATAGCGGGAGATGTCTGATAGTCCTGTAGCTCCTCGTGTAACCTCTGCTGTTTGCTTTCAGTTTAGAGAAAGAGAAACCATGAAAGTTTACACGTGGAACATGGGCTTTCCAATTTTGAATGTTCACTGCATTGCAATAACAGAGAGATGGCAGGACGTTTTCTCTTCTGCAGGAAGAAAATCTCTTGTTCCTATTCGTCTTGAATTTTCTGTTTTCAACATCGTTGTTACTATCATTTTATGACTATCACCATCACTATTATTTATTATCATCATGAAACAAGATTTGAGCAGGTGTTTAACTCGTGGTAGCTGGAATGCACTACCTGAGAGTGTGGCAGAGGCAGGTTCAATTGGCATTCCAAAAGGAATATGATAGTTAATTGAAAATTTTTAGGGTTACAAAGAGAAGACTGGAAAGTGGCACTAGTTTTGATGCTTATTTGGAAAGCTGGCAAGGTCAAGATGAATAAAATTACCTTTTCCTACAATTTTGCGATTCAGGAATGGCTGCTTGGGATACAGCAGTTACCCTAGCACAAACCAACAGTACCAGGAAAACGAAAAAATAGTAAATAAAAACAGAGTAAAACCCGAAAGAACTGCAGATGCTGTAAATCAGAAACAAAAACAGAAATTGTTGGAAAAGCTCAGGAAGGGTCACTCAACCTGAAACGTTAACTCTGATTTAATCTGTCCTATCTTCCAACCCATCACGGACCTTCCCTTTTCTTCCTTTTCCCACCTTTTTGCATATCACTTTCTAACAACCCCAAATTCTGAAGAGAGGTTATTAACCTGAACTGTTAACATTGTTCCAGTCTCCACAGATGTTGCCTGACCACCTAAGTATTTCCTGTATTTTGTTTTGAGTTTAAAGTTCTTCAGTGCCTCTCATATCATTCCCTGGGGATTTAAAACTTAGTTGTACGAATCATCAAACACCTCTGCAAACTGTAACAGCCAGAAGAAATCAATCAGCAAATAACTTGAAAATGATTGAAGAGCCCTTTAGATAGGTGAGGATGGGGGAATCTTTCCTTTGTGGTCGACTCTACAAGGTAAAGGGTTGGGTGATATCTAGATTGTTGAGTTCCAGAATAGCACTGCTGGCATAAAAATCAATGTTGCTGTTGATTAGTATTGCAATCTGAGTGCTTTTCATGCATTTACTTGTGTTGTTGCCCTGCCCAAGGTGGTGCCTGGCACTTTCTGCACCAGAATTGTGCACATATGCCTCAGAGGCCATTTTGGACTTCAGGTATAGGCAGAAAATCATAGATTTGCAGATCCAAAATGCTTATATTTTTTTAAAAAATTACATGTCCCAGAGAGCAATGATTCATTGAGGCTTTACCAAAATGAAGGGTATCTCAATTTCCAGTTACTAAAGGGCAAAAATATTCTCAATACAAACCCATATACATATTACTCTTTCTCACTGACCCTACTGGCCTCTTTTGGTGATTAAGATTCCATTCCATACACAAACTCATTAATCCAGAGTTCGTTGGTCAACGCTATCCTTATGAAAGGCAGCTAGTGAGTCTAATAATCTGGTAAATAACAAGTAGTTTCTTAGGTTGTCACGTAGCTGATCCTCCAATGTCCTCAAAAGGAACGGGCTGCAATTTTTTCTCAGTTGTCAGGCTAGTTGTAGTTTTATACAAGTTTATGGATTTCAAAAGCTCAGGGTGGGTTCCATTTTGCAAGACCTTTGAACGACATTGATGGCACTGCACAAATGTACACTGTGTCATCCAACAGGTATGGAGAAACTGCAAAGTCTAAATCTTGGATTTTATCATATCTGGCCATTCCAGAATCCCTTGGAAAATTCATTGATCCTTTTCTGAGGATAGAGGAGTTAGACAAGATGTGTCTGAGTTTCTGACTAAAACTGTGAGAAAATGTTTCCAGACTTTGTGTATTTGGGACAAGTACCACTCACAAAACAGACCACATGTTGCAACACTGTAGTGACAACATTTGTTTTTCCTCAATTGGCAGCCATTTCCTCCCATAGACCGTGGCAGGATGCCAACTATGTTGCTGACCTATGTTCATTACATCATGTTTAGTATACGATACAAATGAACCTTTCTTATCAGTTGGATTTCAATAGAAGCTCACATCATGGAAGAAAAGTCCACAGGTATTATGAGCAGTGTGTCTCTGCAAACAGCAATTTACAGTACACTAGGCAGGGGATTGCATTTGCACCTCCTCCTTTACTCAGGTCATGTGAAGTACTTGAAGATCTTGACAAACAGATCTGAAATATGATTGCAGTCTCTTAACATATGAGAATAATAAATGGGAATTATGCATCTTGACCAGGAACTTTATCCAGCTTAATTTGTTGATTGTTTAAATAATACTTTAAGCATTTACAAAGAAAACTGTTAGGTTGATTGCAAAGTGTGGGAAGGAATCACTTAAAATAGGATAAGAAAGAAAACTACAAATTCTTAAAATATGAAGCAAAAGAAAGAAATTTGGGATTGTGCAGCAATCCTTACATTTCTCAAGGACTGATAGAGAAAGTAGTTAAGAGGGCATAATGGGATGCTTGCCTTTATTAGCTGAGACAAAGAGTTTGAGAGCAGGGATGTTATGCAGGAACTATGTAAAAGCTTGCTAAGGCCACAGTTAGAATATTGTGTGCAGTTCTGGAATCCACGTTGTAGGGGGGATGTGATTGCACTCAAAAGGGTACAAAGGCAAATTACCAGGTTGATGCCTGGTCTGGAGAGCTTTAGCTGTGAAGAGAGATTGGATAGGCTACCATTGTTTTCCTTGGAGCAGAGGAAACTGAAGGGGGCATATGATTTTTCATGTTTAAAATTATGAGGAGCATAGACAGGGTAGAAAGGAAGAAACATTTCCCCTTGGTGGACAGATCAACAAACAGTGGGCATGGATTCAAAATAAGGGGTTGGAGATTTAGAGGGGATGTGAGGAAAAATCTTTTCACCCTGAGGGTGCTGGGAATTTGGAACTGACTGTCTGTAAGGGTGATAGACTCAGAAAGCCTCATAACATTGAAGAAGTATTTAGATGTACATTTGCAATGCCAAAGCATGCAAGGCTATGGACCAAGTGCTGGAAAATGTGATTAGAATAGTTAGGTAGTTGCTTTTGACTGGAACAGACTCAATGGTTTGAAGAGCCTTTGATGTGCTGTGGATTTCTATGATATAGGGAGAAATGCTTCTGATTTGCTACATCAAATTTAATATGCATGGGGATAACTGATGCAGCCATTAAGAGCCCGAAAATGTTTAACATTTTTTCATGACAAAGCTGTTATGTAAAGTCCTACAGCATATCTGTAGAATGTGAACCCTGGCTTTGAACTCTCCAGTCATCGGGAACATCCTTCCTGTGTTTACCCAGTCTCGTCCTGTTAGAATTTTATAGGTTTTTAAGAGATCCCCCCTCCTTCAATTCTTCTAACTCCAGTAAATTTAGTGTCTACTGATCCAGTCTCTCCTCGTGTCAGTTGAATCAGTCTGGTAAATCATCATTGCACTCCCTTCATAGCCAGAACATCCTTCCTTAGAAGAGAACAAAACTGCACATAATACATGAAATGTGGTCCCACCAAAGCCCTGTACAATTTTCGCAAGTAATCCCTGCTCCTGTATTACTGCCCTGTTGCTATAAAGGTCAACATATCATTTGTCTTCTTCAGTGTCTGCTGCACCTGCATGCTTACTTTCAGCAACTGGTGTACATGGACACCCAGGTCTCGATGCATCTTCCCCTTTCCAAATCTATTGCCATTCAGATAATAATCTGCCTTCCTGTTTTTGCTACCAAACTGGATAACCTCTCATTTATCTACATTGTACTTCATCTGCCATGCATTTGCCCACTCATTCAACTTGTCCAAATCACATTGAAGCATCTCTGCATCCTCCTTACAGTTCACCCTCCCACCCAGCTTTGTGTCAGCTGCAAACTTAGAGCTATTACATTTAGATCCCTCATCTATATTATTAATAAATATTGTAAGTAGTTGGGGTCCAAGCACAAACCCCTGCAGCATCCCACTGGTCACTGGTTGCCACTTAGATAAAGACTCACTTGTTCATAACCTTTGCTGCCTTTGTGTGTCCCTGTGTGCATCCTCAACTCCTCTGAAATAAACTGCTTTAAAATAGTTTGGCAAGGGTCTAGCATGTGGTGTGATTGAGGAGAAAGTAAAGGTTAAGTCAAATAAGCCTAATGGGAAGAACAGGCAGGGACAGGTTAATGAGCATGACAGGACTCGCGGTTTGAAGCATATTTATTTTAATGCAAGGGGTATAACAGGTAAGGCAGATGAGCTTAAAGCCGGATTATTATTTGGAACTGCGATGTTGTGGCCATTACAGAAACTTGGTTGAGAGACAGGCAGGACTGGCAACTCAACATTTCAGAGTTTAGATGTTTCAGACATGATAGAGAGGAATGTAAAAGGGGTGGGGAAGTAACATTACTCATTAAGAAGAATGTCACAGCTGGACGAAGAGAGGACATCTTGGATGCCTCATCCATTGAGGCCATATGGGTAGAACTCAGGAATAAGAAAGGTGCAAGCACTATGAGGAGGTTATACTATAGGCCTCCTGATAGATAGCAGGAGATACAGGAAGAGATATATAGGTAGATCATGGAAATGTGTCAAAACAACAGGTTTGATGTAGTGGGCAATTTTAACTTCCCCACAATTGACTGGGATTCCCTTAGTGTCAGGGGCTTAGATGAAGCAAAATTTGTTAGGTGCATCCAGGAGGGTTTTTGGAAACAATATGTAGATAATCCAGCGAGGGAAGGGGCTGTACTAGACCATATATTAAGGAATGAACCTAACCAGGTGATCGAAGTTTCGGTATGGGGATCATTTTGGGAACAGTGATCATAATTCTGAAAGTATTAAGACAGTTATGGATAAGGATAACACTGTCCTTGGTGAAATTGCCAAATTGAGGGAAGGCTAATTACAACAGTATTTGACAGGTACTGGAGAAATTAGATTGGGTGTGGCTGTTTAAGCGTATGACATGTATGAGATATGCGAGTCTTTGGCCAATTGATCAAAGTTCAGGACACAGCAGGTTCTTGTGAGGGT